TTAAAGCGGCCCCTTGAAATATCCCATACTGTAGCCCAGCTATACATTTTTCATAGACACACAAAGTAAAATTTGCCATATAATTATATTGTTTTACGAATCTAAAACCGCGCGCACGCGCGCGCGCGCCCGTTGTGTAGTTAACGTTGATTGATGATTAGCGAAGCTTGTATCGATGACTTTTCACCTATAACCTGTAATTTGTTTTTATGAGGAAGGCCGTTTTAAAACGAAAAGAGCAATCTTTTAGTTTTACAATTATATATTATCTATTATAATCATTTCTTATAACTTAAAATCTTTTATTTTTTATTTTTTTTTGCATATTATATATATATATAAAAAATACATTTTATATATACATATAAAAATGCATATATATGCATGTATATAGAAAACACATAGCTATTACATACCAAATTGTATTGAATATTTCCAATGCGACTCTAACATTTAGAAATATTTTATGCTAAATGCACATGTATCAACTTATAGAAGCGTATGCATTATTGTTTTGATTAAGCTGGTATCTTTTAAAAGGGTATATTATATATTTTTGTATATACAATTCCCTGTGGAACAAGACTTATTGATATTATGATCTCGTAATACTAAGAACCCTTTCTTCTCCAACATTCGGCAAGTGCTATTAAAAAATCTGTTAAGACAAGATATACTATTACTAAGAGCGTGCGTTCCATAAAATGGAATAAGTCGGATTGAATGAGTCGCATTGAGTTTAATATAAAAGAAATTAATGGTTTCTTATAAGGATTTTATGATTACCGAAGTAAGCACTTAATCTTTAAGAGTTGTTCAGAAATTTTTGTAAATGTGTGGTTGTGAATCTTATATTCTAAGAAACAAGATGAACTTGATAAATATTAAAAAAATTAACAATTATAAAAGTAATATAGCCCGCATTTTATCAAGTATTATGGCAAAATCAAGCGATGAATGTGATTTGCCCCATTGACAAGATGAAATCATTTATGGTTCACCTTTGATATACACTTGATATAAATCATAACATTTGCACATATCTAAAGAATTAAATATCTTTTTTAATTCTAGAGAATTATAATAATTGGGATCATATAAGAGGGAACTCTTGTTAATTGTTACAGTTTCTTTATAATTTTTCAATGCGTATTTCCCTTAGGGCAATGCATATTTAACAATTTGTTAAAAGCTAATTTATTATAATATTATGTCCCAAATTAGTGTGTATTTTAAAATATATGGCAGTTATTCAAACGCAAACAAATTGTTTGCGAGGAAAATTAAAATCTTTAAATGATAGTAATGATAATGAAATACAGATTTAAAAGAAAATAATAATTTTCATTATAATTAAGGTATAATATACTTTATACACTTTAAACAAGAATGGTATCATACACAGAATTATGAATATATTCTGGTAATGCAAGTATCTTTCACAATACTATTACAAGTCACATTTTTGTATTCTACAAGGCCTTGAAATATAATCATGTAATTATCCACGCGCGCGCAAAAAAACTGTAAAAATTTGGTAATTAAATGTCAATTTTTAATCATAGTCAAAGAGATAAATGATATATATATATATATATATATATTGCAAAATAAGAAAAGAAAGTATCAATATAATTCCAAAAAAAAAAAAATCGTAGAGACCACACTAACATGGGACACTTAATGTCACTCTGTTTTAACTAGCAATATTGCAGTGTCCAAAATTCATTGAAGAACTGAATACAGAATTTAAAGAGCCTACTTTTAAATATTAACATAACTCTCACGTTAGTGAATCCTTCAGATTGTAGGCATTTGTTAAATGACGCGATAAATTTGTCCTTCAATTAATTTGAAAACACCATGGCCATGTCTTCTAATTTTATATTAGCGTTGCTTTAACCACGTAGAGCGACGAAACATTTCTTTAAACATGTTGTTGCGCTGGCGCATAGGAGCGGCTTATACCGGACTTCACTGCTCCAGTTTAGCTGGAAATTAATGTCAGTATGAATGTTTAATAATTATACATATAGTACATGTAAAATTAATAATCTTTCATTATTTATATGTTCTTTTACAATATCATCTGGTTTATTCTTATGAAATCATTCTCAATAGCATTTATTTTTTATTATTGCAAAAGTTCACTTGTAATTACTTAAACAAACAAATGTTTATATTTTTATTTTGATAATATATATATACATATGTATGTACGCACACACGCACACACGCACGCACGCACGCACGCACACGCACACACACACACACGCACGCACGCACGCACGCACACACACACACACACACACACACACATATATATACATATATAAAATGCATGTTTTAGTATCATTAGAAAAATAGTTAATTTTTCTTTCAATAGATAAATATGATACTGTGTACAGATAGATACGATACAATGATGACTAAAGTGTTACACATAATATTGTATAGAACCAAGTATTGTGGTCATGGATGTATGTATTGTCAGAAAGTTGAAGAAAATTGCTTCTACAGGTGAAACTGATGAGAAACGATATTTAGACAAATATAACCCTAATACTGAAAAAGCATAAATATTATATGGTGATATAGTGGAAAGCAATTAAAAGGTGAATGACAATAATTTAGTCTAATGATATAACAATAATATATAAATATTTTCAGTATCTACATAATACATACTAATATACAGAAAAATGAATATTTTACATATAGAAGCAATGAAAATGTGTAAAAAAAACACCTAATTGTGTTTCATATGGTTACCATAATATTACTATTATAAAAGTGTGAAAAACCAATGACTTTAAATATCAATGGAATAACATCAAGATTTAAATTGATATTATTATAAATTTTATATACAACAGTAAGCTTTAATTCTAAGTAGATAATATTCGTATGATACAATTCCTATATGGTTCATATGAAACACATAAAGCTTTGCACATAAAGACTAATTCTCTGTTTTCAGAGAATTCTGTCATCATTCCGCATTCACAATTGGAAGAACATTCCTCTTGTATTTCCAAGAAGCTAATTATAATGAAAAATTAAAGAAAAAGAAAATAACTGTAATGATTATCGATTAATCGTGCAATATTACGACGGTAACGATCTAGGAGTGTTTGCGACTCACCGCATCTCTCTAAATGTTGTTCCAATTGTGTACTGTTTCTTATGTTCATTGGTTTCGCTTTCTACTTTTTGGCTTTTCTAAAATATGATAAATGCGATATGATCGAATGAATAGATGTAGCTAATTGCATTTTGTGTGAAGATTTGAAGGACAGACTTGGAGCTCAAAGTTGACATTTATTATTTCTTAATCACCATGTTTTAGTTTAATAAAATGTTATATTGTAAATGCTTATGAATGAAAACTTTATGTAAACTTTTTTTTTTTTTTAAATAATAAGAGAATTTTCGAGTATGAAATGAGCATTTTCAATGCTTGTACATGCAACTTTCTAGAAAGCTTTTATTATCCTCAACAGATGATATGAATGATCCTAATCAGCCGTTTCTTTCATATGAATTGAGAAAGTATATACTTTGGATTACGCGAGTATATCATGAACGAAGAAGTGACCAAGATATGTTAAAGCATCGAAAGAAACAACTAGAAAAAGAGGGAAATGGCTGACCATGGATGAAATGATACAATGATAGAATTCCAATGAGTTGAATGTACAAGATGATAAAAATTAGTATATTTTTGAACAAGGTCGATATGAATAATGAAGTTTGTATAAGCATGCAATGATAATAAATTGTTATGTCGTTTATCATACTAAATATACAAACGACGTATGTGACACATAGCGAAACAACTCACTTTTTCTTGAGAGTGAAGAAACTGCGCCGCTTAGTCTCGGCTTGCGTTGGAGCAGGCAAAGTATGTGCTCTAGATGTACCCGCACCTGATGTACCTTGTGCCGCCTGATTTAATGCCGATATCCATTCATTTACTTCTGCATCATCTTTGGCCTGGAACAAGAAGTCGGACCCGCTTTGCGACCTATAATGCAAACAAATATAATTAATTATAATAATTTCTTTTAATAAGAAAAACTCTTGTTATTAAAGATATGGAACCTACTTTACTCGGAAGACATGTTTCTTCTTAGTGTAATCAGTGGCTACAGTAATGCTCGCGCCTCGTAAGTCAAGGGGTGCTTCTCCTTTGTACCGTTGATCAGGTGAAGCCTTATATGTCTTTTGATCTTTATATACAAACAAGTTTTGTCCGCGTATAACTATGTATACTTTCTCCCAAGAACGATTAGTTGCCTTCTTTGTTGTACTTTCCCACTCGTGTTTTCTTTGTAATGTTCCTTCGAATTCGTCATCGCTGGGACTACGTTGTTCTGAAAGAAAGTAGTGTTATGTTAATTTGTGATAAAGGATAAAGTAACAATAGCCTATTAATATAATATAATGTAATATAATTGAATAAAATAATTGTGCTGTGTTCAAAAGTTCCCCCAACAACAACATATTATTTGATCATGTTGATTTACAGAATAAATCTGAAAATGATATTCAAGGTTAATTGTATACTTATATTAAAGAAGATAACGCCTATAAATCATACTTTCCTCCTTTCACCTATATGAATACCGACGTACCTGAAAGTATTATAAATAAGAGTTTTATTATTATATACTGCCAGCTCTTTGATCCTAGGCATCGACGTTATATCCACAGATTATAGCTTATATTTGAATGTAAAGATACAGGCCACTGATTTCCATACAATGAACCCAAATAGGAATCAATGATATACAATTGTTAAGGTTCAAGTTTGACTGGCAAAAGGTCAATAAATAGAAACAACTATTGACCAACTATTGCTCATACAACTTACCGGGAATACTGTGCTCATCATCACTCACGCCGCTGCGATCTAAACTGGGTGATTTGGTAGATTTTTTCCATCGGAAGCTTCGGAAGGGCGATTTGCTGCGACTTCGTTCCTTACGCCTTAAAGTACCAGATTCGGAACCACTTCCACCTTTGGGAGCTTAATAATATACGCAACACACAATATTATTAACTACTTACTCCTTTCTCATCTAGCTTGTAGATTTGATCAGGAAAACAAGTTGATACTAGAATTCTGGGTAACCATATTAATTATATACCCTTTTCACGTCCTTTGATATTAAAATGTAAACTTTACAAGCACGTTCATGCAGCATGCTCATGCACGAATATACTAAATGAGCAGTGCTAATCATTGTATAAATAAAAGAAGAAGAACGAAGCAATAATTTTTCTAATCCGATATTTATATAATTACTACTTGCATGTATGTATGTGCATGTTCAATAGTATAAGATAATACGTATTTTTTTTTTATGATTTCATTATTTAATTACGATTTAATAGACAATAGATTCAGGAAAAAAAAAAGAAATTGTAATGATTTTCATTTGTTCAAACAGTTAATTTATATTGATTTTAGTAAAATTATTATATCAGTTTTCCTATTTGTTGTATTTCAGATTACTTCATCTTGTTTTGACACTTAGTCAAAATTTCTGTCAGTGGCTATCATAATACATTATATGCATTATTATGATACAATCGTTTAAAAATTATTGTAAATATGGGATCGTGCTGTATTGAAGAAACAGACAAGGATGTTATTCCACGAATACAAATGATACCAGCGATATCACATCTCGCTCCATTTTGGTCAGGTTATGCAGTAATTAATACAAAAATTGAGAATTTATCATTAAAAGACTTTAAAGGAAAATATGTTATACTTTTGTTCTATCCATATGATTTTACATTCGTATGTCCAACAGAAATTATTGAATTTAGCGAACGCATCGATGAATTTCGAAATCTTAGTAAGAATTTCATTGTTTTATATAAGTGATATAGTAAATTATTATATATATATTATTTCTAATTATTATATTTGTTATATTTTTTAAATATAAAAGATGCAGAAGTTATTGCCATATCAACTGATTCTGAATATTCGCATCTTGCATGGATAACTACCCCAAGAAAACAAGGAGGTTTGGGTGAAATGAAAATTCCAGTAGTAGCGGATAAAAGTCATAAGATTTCTAAAGATTATGGTGTATTAGACGAAATTCAAGGGATATCGCTTAGGGCTTTGTTTATTATAGATCCAAAACAATTAATAAGACACGTCAATTTAAATGACGTATCAATAACACGTTCCGTTGATGAAATCTTAAGGCTACTTAGAGCGTGTCAATTCGTTGATCAATTTGGCAACACATGTCCCTTGGGTCCATTGCAACAACAACACGTATTTATACAAAATTCTATTTATTTTGACACTACTTAATCTTCATAGATTATAAAATGAAAATAAATGTATGCTATTGTATCGTATCAATGCATCTAATGTTCATTCATTAAGTTTAGATAAATTGTGGGGAAAAAAAAAAAAATAAATAAACAAGACATTTAGAAAATACTTACTGGTTGGTGTGGATAGGCCACTTGGTTGAGACTTCGTAGTAATTTGTGTAACAGGTGACGTTGTTTCTCCCGCCAAAGACAATTGGGTAGGTTTCTGAGCATGCACTATACCATACCACACCAATTACTAAATCATGCGATCTCTAATTCTTAAATATATTATGTAAGCTCTGATAAATGATACATATGATATTAATCTGTGATATTCGACAAGTTTTCATGGAAAAAGAATAAAGCACAGAAATTATGTTGTTATATAACAATGTTTTAAGCGAATGAAATAAACGCGACTTTGATTATTACCGGAATAAAACGATTGGACATTTTACATTAGAATATAGGGAAATAATTAATTTGCAAATGTTCATTAACAAATCAATCGTACTACGAACACAATATACCAAATCTTACCTCTGAATAAAAACTGAAGTTGTTTTTTTTTTTGTAGAATAAATGACAAATATAAATGACAAATATAAGTTAAATTTGTACATACCAATTCAGAAGAAAAAATTAAAAGTATCTGTAGATGTTAAATAACATAATGTAAGATACATTTCTTTAAATACCTTTTTTTTTCCAAAACATTTAGATTTTCCTAATGAATAATGAAATATTTAGTTGGCTGCAGTGCAATGTCAACGCAAAGTTCGTTTATGTCGATCATGCAACACATAAAATATTTCAAATGATAACATGATTTAATAGTCGCGTTTAAGTTACAATCGATGACGTATAGCTTGGGATATGAGTGGTAAGAGAAACATCCGAGGTAAAGTAATTCCATCACCTGCTAGAAAAATTAATAAAAGCAAGTGAATGATAGCTATAATGATAAAGATGTATCCAAAATCGCCAGAAATATGCTGAAAGATATAAGATTATTGTAGGAAACATAAATAAATGTAAATATAAATGTAATTAAGATAAGAAGTGGACATGACTAGCGGTAGAATCCATCACCAAATGTAAAGAGATTTTAAATGAGCACAGCTGTGATATACAGAAAAGTTGATGTGCATATAGCTATTTCATTTGAAATGAAACACAGAAATATGCCATTGCATACGGTTTTTCATTAGTAATAATGTAAAATTGTTTATCATAAAAAACAATTTCCAAAACCTAAAAAAAAATTCTTCTTTCTCATAATATATTTTATTAAAACACTCACCTTCCTTAGGTTTATCTTGAGGCTGTGGTGTACGCGTGGAAGCCTTGCGGTGTGTCACTGTGGTTTGTGCATTCCGTGCCGCATTAAGGGTGCATTCGGGGACAATATAAGGTTGAATGGACAAAAATTGGTGAGGAACACATTTTGATGGAGGAAAAAAGGCAAAAATAAACGTGCTGTTAGCGATTACATGCTTATCCAAACAAACCATATTTATAAAACCAGTTGCCAAACAGTTAAGTTCATAATCGCAATAAGCGAAGTTACCAACTATACTGTATTAGTAGTCAAACAAAATCCAATCATTCTCTCAATTTAAAATTTATCACTCGATATTATATATAATATTTTATCGCAATTTCACGATTTTAAGATAGTAAGTCTTCTAGTTGATTCAAAAGATGAACCAGCTGTTTTATGAAATTTGAAAACCTTTACTATAACTCTAGTACAAGTAATTATTATTCTTTCATAATTATCTTTTGCAAAAAAATATAGAACAATTAAAAACATAATAATCTTACCATGCGAGTCATCTTCCCCTGCTACACGTTCGCCGCTCGGTACACCTTCGGCTTCGGTTCTATTGCAAATGAAAAATGAAAGATAAGAATTTATCTATAATTTATTATAAAACAAAATTATTCCAATTATAAATTTAATTTACCTTTCGCTAGGCGGTTCGTCTGGACTGGTAACAGGAGTTGCTTTTGCTAATCTTGCCGCTTCAGCTGCTGCTGCCTCTTCTTTCTTCCTTCTTTCTTCTTCCTCTTTCTCTTGCTCTCGTCTCTTTAACTCTTTTAATTCGAACTGCACCGAAATATAACTACGTAAGAATCAAGAAAAATATATTTGCTGATAAAATTGTATTACTTACAGTAGTAAGTCGATGCAAGGCACTAAACCTTTCCTCTTGTGCAGCTGCCGATTTTTCAAAAGCTTCGTGCTTCTTAATTAAGTTTTCGACTTCGTCGATAGTATGCTGCAATAACAATAATAACGATAATAATAATAAAAATAATAATGACGATGACGATGATTAAGTATCGCTTACGCCCAGTTCTTGACTCATAAGATATGGTTCTTGAGCGATTAACCATGCCTCAGCGACAGCAGCATCTCGAGCAAATTGATAGACCTCCAAAACTATAAAAATATAATAACAATAAAAGAATATAATAATATAGGGAAGTTCTATAGAAAACATGATTTACAAAAAAACTCACTCAATTGCAGGTTCTCCCAACGTTCCTCCCATCGATGTAACAGGGCATTTCTATGATCCGTTAGTGCTGCTAATTTTTCTTTGATTTGAGCACTACCATAATGATTCCTAGCTAATAAGTCTTTTCCAAGATTAATACACGCCATGAGATTGTCCTCTCTGGCATCGATTTCCGCTTTTAAGCTTTGATGATTATTCATTAAAAGTTCAACTCCGCCGACATCTCGTGGCTTCTCAGACGTGTTCATCTGTCTTACAACGTCGTCCATCCAGATCATTAAAGTCCTAACCATGTTAAAGAATCTAAAAAGATCTCCAGTGTCTTCCAATTTCGCTCGTCTACCTTCGCACAAGGATTGAAGGTTGTTCCATGCAGCGACCACTTCAGCCTCTCGATTCGTAATTTCCCTTGCCTTGTCTCCGGCATAACTAGTTTCCAATTTCGCTGATTCCTCTTGTATCTGTGATACCTGACTTTGCAATGTTGACAAATCTTGCATGAAGTTCGCGTGTTTGCGTTGAAGCGCGGACACGGATCCAGCATCGCGACCCAACTCGTCGGACATGGCATTTTGTTTCTCAAGAATTCGTCCAAGAACGTCCTTACAATCGTGGAAGAACTTGTGTAATTCACGACTGGCTGCTAACATTTGCGTACGAGTTTCGATCAATTCGAGTAAATCTTGCCAACCTTCGTTCAAGCCGTCTTTCCATTCGGCTATCGTTGCAGCATCCGAATGTCCGGTTGCTATTAATGAATCGGCAATATCATTGACCGCAGCAACTCTTTCCGAACCGATTGCTTCAGTATCACGTGCAAACTCCTTAAATCTTTCCCACAAAAGGGTAACGTGATCGTAATCTTGACCTAACTCGTGACTACCGGCTACCAATTCTCTTTCCGCGATCCACTGTTCCAAATCGTCAACCTCCCGACTCAACATGAACAATTGAAGAGCCTCGTCCAATTTAGCGCGACGTTCACCGGCAAGGTCCTTTAAGCCGGCATACAATTTGTCGACCTGCGATTGCTTCACCGCGATCTGATCGGCCAACGGGTGTTGATCATTTATCAGTTGTCTGGCAGTTTCACCGAGTTGACGAATCGTATCGGCGTAATCTTCGACAGCGTGCTCCAAAGATTCGTGTTTCTTCATAAGATTTTGCGCTGATATTTCATCCTTGCCACGATCTTCAACCATCATGTATAATTCTTGTTCGCTCATCCAGGATTCTGCTTCCGTAGCATCGAAGAAGTACTGCTGTGCCTTTTCGTTTTGAAGCAAATGCTTGTTCCTGTCGTCTACTGCGTCTTTTAGTTCCTTCCATTTCTCCGTCAATTCCGAGATGAGTCTAGTAAATTCAGGACTGTCCTCGTGGCCTTCGTCAATTAATTTTTGCCCGTTGTTACATACCAAATTGATTCGAGGCTCGTGATTATCGATTTCCGTGCGCAACGATTGATTCTTCTTTTTAAGCATGTGCACGTTGAAGAGGGAATTGCCGTATTCCGTACTCGTAGCTTGTGGCATCTTTTCTGCTATCCATAATTTCTCATCTTCGACGTCTCGCCTGAATTGAAAGGCCTCCTTCTTTTTCTCAAGATGTCGTTGCCGATCTATCAGCGGTGCCTTCAATTGTGCGAACCTTTGCGCGACCTTTTCCTTCTTACATTTAATTTCCTCCATCTTATCGTCGGGTACGGTGCGCTGTAGATGCTCCGCCTGTTTATCCAATTCTGTGACCTGTCGTGCTTTCACCGCCATTTGTGTCTCGATCATTTGTTGCTTCTGCATCAAGATATTCACGGACGCCAAATCCGAACCCGTATCGGTACTTTCTATTTGCTTTTCCAGCTCGTTCATCCACGAATCGATATCGTCGCACGTTTGATGTATCAACACTTCGCGATTAGCATCGAAGAGGCGCTCACCCTTGTCGTGGGTGGTAGTTTCAAGATCGGTAAATTGATCACCCAATTCGGCTACTTTCGGTTTTATTAACTCCACAAATTCGGGCTTCTGCTGGATCAGTTCGTCCGCGGCCTTTTGCAATTGTTGCAAGCGATCTTTGTTGCTCGCAATTTCGGCCTCGAACGCTTGATGACGCGTCCACTTGCTGTGCACCGTTTTCGCGCTACGGTAAGTTTCGTCTTGAGCAGTGATATGTTTCTCTTGTACCCATTCACCCAATTCCTCGCAGTCTTGTAAAAACATTTGAAGTTGAAGTTGGTCCTTTAATTTTTCCATCAATTGATTGGCTTTATCGCGATTGACACGTCTACGCTCGTTTATATTCTCAGCCTTTTTATTTACTTTGTCGGCAGCGAAGTGTCCTTCATCGACGAGCCTTCCGGCGAATTGAACTACCGAATTTATCTTCTCATCGTTCGCATCCATCGTGGTCATGAACGCTTCGTGACGTTTAATCATATGTTCAGCTTGCTCGAAGTTCGCCGGTGTCTCGTCCTTCGCGAGGGTATGCTCCTGTTGCGACAAAAGTACCTCCGCTTGCCTAGCGTCGCGATCGAACACTTGGAGATTAAGCGAATTGGACAATAAGTTTTGTCT